TCACCCCTTGTGTAAGAGATGATGTACAAGTAGTACAATTCATATATATATATATATATATTTTTTTTATTTATTTATTTTTCTATATATTCATTTTCAACCACATATTCACACAAAAATATTTTATACGCAAATTTAAAACATTTCCTACTTTTTCACCGCACAATTTCCAAAAAAATTATTATTCAAAACTCTATTTATTCAAATAATAATTGTTAAACATGGGCTTATACTTCTTTAAAAATAATAATGTTTAATATATAGAAATGTGCTTCTCCCAGGGTACTAATAGGACAATATTTGTCGGAATATTGATATAACATGATTTCTTCTAGAGCATTTCCTTTTCAATATGGCCCCTATTTGAGTTACATTAAAATTTTCATTTTCATTCTTCTACTCATTTTCAACCACACATTTTTCAATAAAATAATATTTTTCATCACTTCAATAACATTTCCTTCTTTTTCAACCACACATTTTCCATTAATCTACTATTCCAAAATACTTTCTTACAAAATAATGTGGCTCAAACACACTCATGAAATCGGACAAATATTGATATAACATGACTTCTTCTAGAGTATTTCCTTTTCAATTTGAAATCGATTTTTTCGATCGTACGACTTAAATCTCATTCAGCTAAATGAGATTATGAAAACAATAATTTATATCGGTTAAACACATTTAATTTAAGGCAAGCAATTGATCAGAGAAAACCAATAAGTTTGTGTTACTCCTCGCCTCCGAAGCCCAGTGAAACGAGTCACGTAGCACGACACGTGGACAGATAGTTAACAAGGAAGTCAGAAGACGACCCAATAGGCAGGCCGAGGTCCTTGCACAATGTCCGAAGTTCTCACACTGCATGACGAAGTCTGGGTTAATGTACTTCTCCAAAGACGAAGCTGTCTAAATAAGTCGAGAAATAAATTGAAGTCCTCCACTTAAGAGAACCATCTCAGATCTCTCTGAAGCTTTCAAACTCATCCGAAGCTCATAAAGTCGACTCTGTCTCTTGTAATAGATTTAAAGATCTATTAGAAGTGAGTGATGTAACACATGTAATAAAGGTGATAGCGTGTCAGCCGTTGTATAAGGCGGCTGACCTATTATCAATGTATTAATTGTATAAATAGACAGTGATGTGATGCCTCAATTTGAGAGATGAGGCCACGTGGTTCTGATCCAACGGACACGACATCGGCCAATGCAGTATAAATATGTCCTCTTTGTAATTAAAATGAGGGGATGATTAATAGAGATTTGGACAATCATCTGGTCGAAATATATGCTGAAACCCTAGAGAATTTCATACGAACACTGTATTGAATATTCCTTTGGTGTTCTTTATATATTTATCAAATGTGAACTCCAACGTATAATATAGCAACTTCTATATGCATTTTTATCTATCATTCCACATATTCTTACTTTGTTATTACATAGATTAGATTGGTTTCAGTCCGGCAATCTTTGTTAGTGCGGTTACTTTTGTTCCACCCGTCGGAGTTTAAACACTTTTTGTCTCTCACCGCAAAGTACCTTCCGCATCCATTTCATCATTGATACCGTTATCATTCCGGTAGGAACGCACTGAAATCGTACTTGACTTGGCGTGAGTGGACCCGACATCTATTGATTCATTTTTTTTGGTCAACAGTTTGCATGACCTTGCAATTATTTTATTCTATTTATCGACATAGCTTCGATTCGCTTGACCTTTCTCAAGTTTATGTACTTTACAAATGGTTGCCTTTAGGCATCATTTGCTCAAATTTCTCATCAACAACAAAATTCGAGCAAAATATATACAACACAATAAATTTAGATGTTTATTCAAATTTAGTGTTTGGTATGATTAAAATATGATTTTAATTTCAATTTAAAGTCAAAAATTAATTTTAATAACACATTTCATAAAACTCGCAACTTTTTAAACACGTATTTAATTAATTATAATCAAAATTTATTACATTTTTGATTTTAATCTACAGCAAACAGGGGCTTGATACATATACCTTGAACTTCTCGATAATTAATTTTCATATTATCAAAATCGTACCATCAAAATCACCAAAGTCGATTCTTGGCTCTTCTTTAGGTGATGATTGTTTTTATAACTCAATTGGCTAAAAACTTGTGATAACAACGTGTTACAAGAAGGAATAATAATAATAATAACATTATAAGAAAATTAATTGATTCTTAAAATTAAGAGAACACAAAAGAACAATAGAAGAAAATTAATAAAATCTAAAATCAAATGTACGTTTTGTATTTCATCATAACAACGATCGTTTCAAGGCTCGTTTGGATGGCTTTTGCTTCCTGTAGAAAACTTTTTGGAGGATATTACCTTAATTTTTTTAAAGCTTGTTTTTAAAAGCACTTCCTATTTCAGAAGTGTTTTTCCTCTAAAAACTCTTCAAACTAGAAAAAACATTTTCATAAAATTAACCAAATGAATTCTAAATGAGCTTTGGAGTCTTAAAAATTACTTTTGACTTTCTCGAAAATCACGTCAAACAAAAGCCTAAAAGAACTACAATTTGAATATGATACATTATTTTAGAGTAAGTTGGAAAACTCTCTAAACTTTTAGATAATACCATCTGTTCATTATTTCTCGATATTTTATAACAAAAATATATATTATTTAGAGCCCGTTTGAGTCATATTTTTTTTTTGCAAAAAATATATTTTGAAATAGTATTTTGATGGAGAATGTGTGGTTACAAAATAAGGAAAAATTTTGGGTTGCGTGTAATATTATTATATTGAAGAATGCATAATTTAAAAATAAGCGAGAAAAATGTATTTTAAAAATAATCGGGACTAAACAAGGACTTTATATTTTTAGTTTTAGCCAAAATACGAGTTAATTGTCCCAATAATCACCGAACCTATGCACGTGTCTTTTATTGCTCACTGAAATTTAAGATATCGAGTTTTGACAACTAAACTCATCCAAATTTTGGATGTTACTCACAGCATAACATCTATTTTAAACCTTTAATGAAATTGGTGACATGAATGACAAAATGGAAAGGAGGTGCCCCATCACGCGTTTTCAAATTGTTACGTAATAAAGCGTCTTTCGTTGATTGTTAAACTTTGGAAAATGTTTTCGCTTGCTCACTATACTTTAAAAAGTATATTCGATTGCTCGCTGAACTTTGATGTAGTCAAATTTTCAGCACTAGATTTATAAAAATTAAGTTGACCAATTCTTTGCTAAAAATGTTCACCGCAAGCGCACGGATTGCGTACAAGCATAAAGTAGACAAATGAATTCGGATTGTCTATACTTGAGGAATGGTTACTTAATTACACAATAATTAAATTTAATTTTAACATTGAATCACGTAATAAATTTGATTTTGCAAATGATGAATAGCTTGAAATCTCATGTATGTGATCTTTTCGTTATTTTTGTAGAATTGGACGCTATTTTCATCATTTGAAAAATCCAAAATTTATTATGCCCCTATTTGGCACCCATTTTGTTTGAAAAATAATTTTTTGAATAGTGATTGATGGAAGATTGTGTTGTTAAAAAGTAAGGAAAATTTTTGGGTTTATGTGTAATATTATTTTATTAATAGAATGTGTATTTGAAATGAAGAAATAGAAATAGAATGAGAAAAAAATGGGTGTCAAACAGGGGCTAAGTGTTTTGCTGTTAAAATTAAATTTAATTATTGTGTAATTGAATAATCATTCTTTGTAGGATCGACAATCCAAACTCGTTTGTCTACTCTATTATTTGTACGAGACACGTCCACTTGTTGTACACATTATTTTTTAGTGAACAACAACCCTCGTCATTTTTATAAATTTGGTAACCAAAATTCGATCACCTCAAAATTTAGTGAGCAATCGAAATCATTTTCTAAAATTTAGTGAGCAATCGAAAACGTTTTTCAAAATTTAATGTTTTCGTACCTAACAATTTTGTAATGGAGTGAGGGAAGCCACTTGTGCATTCCGTTAGTCAAGTCATCAATTTCGTTTGAAGTTTGAAATTGATGTTATATCGTGTGTAATGTCTAATATTTGAATAAATTTAGTGATGAAAACTCCATATTTTAAATTCACATGCAAGGAAGACAATCATAATTTCATTAATTATTGGGGCAATAAACTCCCAAAATGCCCTAAACTACAAAAATGCAAACCCCATGTAAAATCAACCCCATTGGCGGAGCAAACGAAACTCACAAAGTCGACTTCCTCGTTTTCATCGACACAGTTTCCTTCATAACTCTCCCCAATCCGACCCCCACCCACTATTCATTGGTCTCTCTCTGAAGAAGATATCTTGTTCAGAATTATATTTTTCACCTCACATTTCACGGTATAGGCTCTATTAGTAGATCCAATAATGTGAAGTGCGAAGATATTGGAATGCTGATTTATCATCACATTGCTTTCGTTTTTGGTTTTGTTTACTACGTTTCGATGATGGGCTTGTGTCTTCTTTTTGTTTATTCGTTTAGGAGGACGATTTGATTTGATTGGTCTGAAGATGGATTCCGCAGCCATGACTTTTTGCAGTAAATCTATATGCTCAGCTCCCGTAAGTCCTCATGTTTTTCTATGCTATTTATTTTTTTCTCAGTGCAGTTCATAATTGTGCAATTACTCCATGCATGTTGTATGTGAACACTTTGATATGCAATATGCACAAGTAAAATTGCAATTAGAAGGACATTCTGTCAAATATCTACCATGTAGAGCTATTTGGACGACCAATTCTTAATAAGTGTTGTTTCTAATTTTAATGTGATTTAAATGGTCCTCTAGTTGAGGAATTCAAATTACGTATCAATTCTGTTTCTTGGCTCTTCAGTTTGTGATTTTCTATTGACTAAATAAATAAGACGAATCCCTTTTTTGCAATTAAATACAAAAAACACGATGCTTTTGTTTTGGAAATACACTACAATAATGCTTGTAATGTATGCTTTGATATGTTAAATGAGAAAAAAAAGGCTTGAAGATCACTAATTACTGTTTTCGTGAATAATGTTGGCTTCATTTTTAATATGCTTTTGTGTAGTTTGGTTTCATACTTACAATTGGTACTGTAGGCAAAAAGATCTTGTCTTTTTCTCAGTTACATGGTCTTTGAAGAGAACTGCTGTTTGACACGTTTTTTAAGCTGTCAAATTATACTCTGATTAGAGAAGGAAAATAGTTTATGTAGTACATAAGGAATTCTAATTTACTAATTTCCATTCCTATAAAAAAAATTCAAATATATATTATTTGTTTTTCTGTCATAGCTAGAATGTTTGGATCCCTTTTGGTGACTCCAGCCTTCTTTTATTGGTTGTTTATTAGTTCCTTTATGGTTCTGTAATTGAGAGTTAAAAAATCTGTTTTACTTTTCTTGGAAGGGTTTATTCATGAGGAGGACAATACAAATTCAAAGCTCCCAATGTAGCTTTATCGTAGGAAGTAAGGTTAACTACCCTCAACAGAGAGTTTGGGCTTCTTGTGTTGGTAGATCTAGCAAACATGGAGGTGCTCTTGCTGCTACGTGCGCTAATGATAAAATCCTAGTGGCTAACAGAGGAGAGATTGCTGTTCGTGTGATTCGGACTGCTCATGAGATGGGGATCCCTTGTGTTGCAGTTTACTCAACCATAGATAAAGATGCTCTTCATGTGAAATTGGCTGATGAATCTGTTTGCATTGGAGAAGCGCCAAGCAGTCAATCGTAAGCCATTATAATTCTTATATGCTTGTGAGTGGTTATGTTTTTATCTCGTATAACATATAAAAGTCAATTAAAATATTTAACAAGCTGACCAATATTATGTCAATTTGATTTCGGTTAGCCATTGAGAGCAGGGCCCTTAGAGCATGTTTCAGTGGGCTCATTTTTAAAATAAGCAACATCCATTGGCCTATATATAATCCCCAAATCTAAGCCATTTAAATTTATCCATCCTTGCTCAGTATTCATGTCGTCTCAACATAGTTTCTTCATCTTTTAGCAATTCATACTGCATCAGATCTATGATATTTTGTGGCACTTAAGATATCCTCACCAAAATCTTGGATAAAGGGAAAAATAATATCCACTTCATCCCCGCTTGTGCTCAAAATGCAGTGGGAGATTGCCAACTTATTTTGGATTTTTTTGTACAGGGTCTTCTATATGGATAGTGGTTTTTTCGTGTTTAAAGTTGTAGAACTCTTATGATGCCTCTTATCTGTAGTTATGTTTTGCATGTGTATTTTAATAGTCAATATAACTGCTGTCTAGTTTCTTGTCAAGAATCACCTGGAGTGTCAGTATCAAAGTAAAAGTAAGAATCTTCTCTTAAGGCATCATATTTCTTAACCTTTCTACAGGTATTTGTTGATTCCAAATGTCTTATCTGCTGCCATCAGTCGTGGATGTACTATGCTACATCCTGGATATGGTTTCCTAGCTGAGAATGCAGTTTTTGTTGAGATGTGCAGAGAACATGGTATCAACTTTATTGGGCCAAATGTAAGTTCTCTGCATCAGAACTTCAATACTACATCATATTCATACTATTTATCCTTAAATCCCAATCCCGGAGTGTTTCCCAAAGTGTTTGCTATGCTCAGTTCTCTCAGATTCGAAACTGTATTACCAGCAAGATTGGCTACTTATATGGCCACATCATTCATATATGTTAGGTTCGGGTAATGATCAAGGGCATGGAATTAGTCCTTGTACTGCTCTAATATTTGATCACTATTAGAATTTATGTCTATTATGGTCGAATCAAATGTCAACAAATCATGTGACCTTCCTATGTACAACAGGAGCTCAAATCACCACTAGACCCATTGCCTTCACCACTGATATTGAACTAACAGAACTTGTTTTGAATCACTTGAGTGTACCCGAAATGTGGTGTGTTGATGATGCCAGCTAATGTGCCATCAAGACTGAACATGAATAATCACCCAATAACAGTACTGCTAAAACATACATTGCACCACCCCTTAAATCGCCCGTCACCTTCATAAGGCCTATAAACTATTGCATGCGAAATTCTCAATGTAGATGATGCTGTAAATATGGTCTTCTGCCAATGGTTGCAATGTTTGGATGGTGGAAGACAACCGTAACTTTACTAGTGGGGTGGCTGAGGTTGAGCGTTGGAGGTAGCCCTGATGTTGTTGAAGGTACAGGGTATGTGGTGGAGGTGGACTAGTGGAATTGATGGTGGAGATATTTGGTTTGCTGTACTAGCCATGCTTATTGTGTGGGTCCTGTTAATTTTTAATTATGGTGGGGGTGATCATCGTGGCGGCAGCAGCAGCAATAAAATTAGGTTTCATCCATATAGATTTTTTGAGGATATGCCACTTGACTTTAAACTGAACAAGTAATATCAAAATATTGAAATGGATAAATATATGCTCCTCCTCACCTAAACGTTTGTGCCACAGAAAACTATAAAATTCAAATTGCTATAATAGTAGTTTATTGTTTCTCTGCTTCTATTTTTAAACTTTCAAATGGCAAATTTGATCTTTATTTTGAATTCTGAAAAGCAAATGTAGCTGTTTTGAAAGTCTACACCTAAAGGTTTCAACTTTTGAAAGTCGAAAATTTTCAGCCTGACAGCATTAGGGTCATGGGTGACAAATCTACTGCCAGAGATACAATGAAGAATGCTGGAGTTCCGACTGTCCCAGGAAGCGACGGGTTATTACAGGTATTGCTTTTTACTAGATTTTTGGGCATCGTTTACCAATATATCTTTGGACTTTATTGTCAAATTTGCTTTTATTTGAATGCTTTATATTTCTTCTTATGCGTCTTTCAAAATGATTCTTGCCATGCAGAGTACTGAAGAAGGAGTGAGACTTGCTGAAGAGATTGGTTTTCCTGTCATGATCAAGGTTAGTTCAACATAAATCTGTTATGTCTTCATTATTTTTACATGGCAGCTCCATATGATATTGCAGCATCTTTTCTTGCTAGCCCTAATAATAGTATTGTTAGGGAGGAAGAAGATTAGGTGAGCTTAAGACCTATTCTTGATCACAAATTTGCTTGCTGCTTGTGACAGTTTAGTAGTGATACAGTACATCGATAATTTGAGTGCTTTTTCTACCTGGCAACAATAATTTGTTTTGTTCACATGATATGAAGTCTAGCAGCCTTTCTCCTATGATATGGTGCAGTAAGTTTTTTGTCATGGTGATGGTGGACGCAATCCAACAAGAACCAAATTATAAAAGAAGAGAGAAGCGATAAGAGGAGGAGAAAGGGGAAGAAGGGGAAGAAGGGGAGAGGAGAGAAATGTGAGGAGGGGAATTATTTATTTATTTAATAATCAAAGCGTCTATTACAATGCATAATCCCCATTGTGGGAAAACAATTAAATAAATAACATAGAATACTAGAAAATCTATCAAAATAAACAATGCCACTTTTCCTAAAATAAGTATCCAAACTTGGTCAATCTTCAATAATATATCATTACTATTACTGATCTCCATCACATGGGAGGCACTGATTTTGGTTTCTTCTTGATTGTTGTTTGGTAGTTTGAATCGGCTAGTGATTGAGTTCTTTAGTTCTCAACGATTCTATTCTTGTCAAAAACTTGAAGAACATAGAATACACTTGAAGATCATCTTTTGACAATAATTTGTCCCCTACCTATGATAAACCGATGCTCCTACTGGTGTGGCGTCTCTATGTATTGACACTCATCGGACAATCCAAGACAATTAGTATAAATATTTTTTCTTCACTAGGAGTGTAATATATAGTTGAACTTATAGTTATTTTAATGTAGCAAATGGCTACTTATCCGATTTAAAAGATTTCATGAAAAGAAAAATTCAAAATTAAGAAAATAATCGGTTTTTATTATAAGAAAAAAAGTATACACCATAGAGATAGAAAGTCTACAATTTTAAAGAATTTAAATTAATGTGTCCCCGACGTGTCCGTCTCCTATGATTTTGAAAAATCAGTATCAACGTATCCGTGTTCATTCAACATAGTTTCTTACCTAACTTGAACAGATAGTCTTCCCAAATATGGCAAACAAGTGTTATCTGTTATTGAAAGTGCTTTCTTCCTACTAGGTTGGATGAACTACCCAGCAAGATGTCATTTTGACAATTTGCCTCATATTAAGCAGGGTGGGGGTGGCCTCTCACTAGGTTGTTGTAATTTATTTTTGACCAGATGACCATCAGAGGGATTCAGTCTCCTTCCTTGAGCAAGTCTAAGAACTTAACCGTTATCCACTCTACTCTAAGTCTAAGACTCAAAACAATTTGCCTCCTTCCCTGTCCCCTCTTATTTTGAGGTTGACTGCAACTTCCAAGGAATAAACTATGTACTGATACCAGGATTTTTCACATCACTGTCAAAGATATTATCTTCAAGTTTCTTCTTGATTCTATTCGGATATTTTGGATAGACGATCCTAAAATGTCACAAGGTTTACTATTACTCGATCAAGACTCCTGTATTGATGAGAACTATTAATGGAGGATGGAAATGAACTCAATTGTTGTCATCTATAAATTCTGAAGCTGTGATTTAAAAAGAGATTTTTTAAAATTGTTTTTGATCAGTTCATGAAATTCACATTATGAAGAATCTTGATAGAACAAGGGGAATCCCATTGATGTAATTGAGTCATGTCTTCTTTCATTGCGAGGTAACTAAGAAGAATCATGGGTGTGTGTGTATAGGGAAACAGATGCAAAATATAATTCTGGGCTTAATCTGATTCTTGTTTTCTTTTCTTTTCCTTTCATCTACAAGGATATGGTGAATCTATAGTTAAAAAAACATGTTTTCTTAAAGAACTTTAACTTCAAGTGTCGAAAAACATCTCAAAAGCTGTGAGACAAAAGAGAGATGATGTCAAAGCATTTTGATATCTGGGAGAGACAGAGAGATCGGCACATGGAATGGAAGGAAGTAATGATTATTGGCAGACTCACTTAGGGACCAGTTTTGCAGCTATTTCTGACAGGTGTCAGCCAAACTTAAAGAGTTGGGAAGTTTTTAAAATGTGTCATATGTAGATTGGAGCTAGATATGATTCGTTAATTATTGAAATCTTTAGGCATTTTCCATTCAAAATACTTGAGAAGAGTTCAGTTGCTCAAAAATACCTGTATAGTAGGATAATCAATCCAGTTCAGATAAGTATGATTCTATCAATGCATTGCCGTTCTGTTTACCTTATTATGCTTCATTCGACTCACTTCAAGGAAATGAAAAAGAAAAGGAAACAAACTGAATTTTGGACCAGGTTGTCTATTTTGTCTGTTGATTCATTTGACCTTCTCATTGTTTCCTATCTGAGGGTATATCAAGTTGATCTGATGTGAAGAACCATTAGTCATAGAAAGAGTTTTCTGACAAGTGACTACTTTATCTTTTGAAGGCAACTGCTGGTGGTGGAGGACGTGGAATGCGTCTTGCTAAAGTGCCAGAGGAGTTTGTGAAGTTNTGCTAAAGTGCCAGAGGAGTTTGTGAAGTTGTTGCAGGTACCCCTCCTTGCCTTAAGTTTCGCTTTTGAATGACTTCAGTGAAATCATAATCAATTGGTTCTTCCCGCCCCCTTTTTCCTTCCCTTGTAAACTTAGTAAAATTTGTTATTCCCCTTTTTTCTTCAAAAATAACTACTTGACTATTTATAGAGGATTACAGATTCAGGTGAGATCCGATATCAGACTCTTTCAAGCAGTGGATTTGGCAGCATGCCATGTGAAACTCTTGCGATTTGATTAATTTGAATGGCTTTTATTTTCCGTACTTGATGCCATTTGTAATCCATTTTTCTTTTTCATGTTCTTAAAGGTCACATGATCTGTTAAGAAACTATTTCTCTTCCACTTACATAATGCTTGCTCATTTTATTATTCTAAAATTGCCACTTTCTATCTAACAGTTATGCACAAAAGCTCATTCTTATGTCTGAGATATTTTTTGTGTAATGCACTCTACTTAGCTGTTGTTGATCCCCTGTTGTTGATCATATCTATTGTAGTTGGTTATTTGTTTATACATAATCACTGGAATTGTATGAAACTTAACAAAGTCTAGCTTATTTCCACGTTGCTTCTTTTAAACTAAGTCTAGCTTATTTCCATGTCGCTTCTTTTAAACTAAGTTTGGCTTCTTGTTTAAATTGTTTTTATAGCAAGCCAAGAGTGAAGCTGCAGCGGCATTTGGTAATGATGGTGTTTACCTGGAAAAGTACATCCAGAATCCAAGGCATATTGAATTCCAGGTACTAATTTATTCTAAAATTTTCCACAAAATAAATTGTTTTTTTTAAAATCTAATTCTGTCATTCTTGGTTGAAGAAAAATCTAATTTGTATCTTAGTTAAGATTATGAAGTTTAATAATTGAATCCTCTGGTTCATAAGTCGTTGATGTAAAGCATAAACCTTTGCAACTCTACAGGTTTTGGCAGACAAGTTTGGTAATGTTGTGCACTTTGGAGAGCGTGATTGCAGTATCCAGGTATGCATAAACTATTTCATAATTCAGTTTGAGTTTATGAAAGCACGTTACTGTATATACCTATTTCATAATACAGTTTTGAGTTTACGGAAGCATGTTGCTAAAAGCTTTATGATTAGGTTTCTATTACTGTCTAATGAAACTAGTCATATTTAGCTTTTTTTTACTTATTATTATAGATTAAAAAGGGGAAGATGAGGATTTTGGTTAAAGTTTCCGTTGATTACAAGTAAAAACTAATTTTTCTTTCTCCTCCTTCAAAAACTTGGCTTTCTGTTTGAAAACCCAGAAAAATAGCTCGCTGGGGTAACGAGTCCATTAAAATCTCATTTGCAGAGAAGAAATCAGAAGTTGCTGGAAGAAGCACCTTCTCCTGCACTAACACCAGAGTTGCGTAAAGCAATGGGTGATGCAGCAGTTGCAGCAGCAGCATCGATAGGGTACATAGGTGTTGGTACTGTCGAGTTCCTTCTGGATGAAAGAGGGTCCTTTTACTTTATGGAGATGAACACTAGGATTCAGGTGAACAAAATTCATTTTCAGACAATCAATTGCTGCAACTACTTAACCTTGCCTTCAGCTATGATTTCTATACGAATTGATTCCTATTTGGTGTAAAATTTTAGGTTGAACATCCCGTTACAGAAATGATTTCCTCTGTTGATCTAATTGAAGAGCAGATCCGTGTGGCTAGGGGAGAGAAACTTCGGTACAAGCAGGTAGGGAATCAGGATTGTTCGAGACTCCTAAAATAAATTGCAGTCAGTGGTTGACATTTTTCTTTCTCGTCTATAGGAAGATATTGTGCTCCGTGGACATTCAATTGAATGCCGCATTAATGCCGAAGATGCTTTCAAAAATTTCAGACCTGGACCAGGTTTGTTTGAACTGTGTGTATGCTTACAGGATTCAAAAATTCTTTTACATCTCTGTATCTTTCCATGCACGTCTACATTGATGTTTCCTCTTCACCTGTAATTTCATCATCATACTGCATATGATATCAGTGTCCTGAGCTGGACCTGGATTATCTTAATAAACAAACTCAATGGCCAGATTGATTAGTTATGGGTTTAGAATAGTACTAAAATATCACAAACAAATTTTTGTTTCAAACACCAAATGAACAAAATGATCCCACCACCTTGGAATAATTGGTCAATATGATGAAATCAACTGTAATCTGTAACCTATATTTTAATACCCTTGTATTCACTGGAACAGGAAGAATAACAGCATATTTGCCATCTGGAGGTCCATTTGTGCGAATGGATAGCCACGTTTATCCTGATTATGTGGTTCCACCCAGCTATGATTCCTTGCTTGGAAAGGTCAGTAAATTCTGTTTATGTTTTCCGTATGTACAATCTCTGAAATTCTGTACCTTACTAATCAAAGGATAGAGAAAAAGGTAATTATATTCTCTTTTTAATGATTTCCTTTCTTTAGTGATAAGAGAACTGGCACTTGTTCAGAACTCTATCACACTTTTTAATATTTTGCACCTTTTGTTTGTGGATAACATTTTTTTGAAATTTAGATATGTATAATACATTCAAGACTGGATTAATACTGTCGGTGGGCAGAATCTGGAAAAACTGGCATTTTCATCCTTTTGGTTAACTGGAAGTGCATGCATGGTTTAATACTAAATTCACTTGCTGAATATAAAATTGAGGCCACCTAGCACCATGCAAAATCCAAGTGGGGGTGTTAAATGCGAGCTGCTCTGCTAGCCCACCGTTGGGCTTGGCTCGCCATGCGACTGCTAAAGAGATAAAAGTGGTTATTAGCGAGATAAAATTGTAGAAAATTCTGAAAGTGTGATGAAGTTACACTCGTATTTATAGACCCCAAATCAGCACCGAAAAAATATAAAGCAAAATTCACATTTCAAATTTTGAAATTTGAATTTTGGAATTGTCAAACTGATGGAAGCCTAGCAGGGGCTCGCAAGCCAATACCAGGAGCTGGTGAGCTTTCACGCAAGCAAGCGAATGGTTTGCACGAGGATTTACCAGCTCTGCTCGTATGTGGACCGAGTTGGCGAGTGGCTCGTCCCACTTAACACCCCTGCCATTCTGGCTTGAATCAACTTCTTAAACCTCTTCCTGCCCATTGACTATTGGAAGAAGTTTCAAATGGGACAGGTGATGAGGGAAGACCTATCTTACACAATAAAATTTACAGAATACAGATAAGGAAAGCAGCCATAATACAATTTGCTTGACATAATTATCTATATGTATATAGATATTCTCACTTTCTTTTAAAGTTACAGAGTTAGCTCTTAATCACTGTAACATGTTGCAAAATGTGATTTTAGCTAATCGTTTGGGCTCCAACGAGAGAAAGGGCAATTGAACGCATGAAAAGGGCTCTTGATGACACCATTATTACAGGTAAATCGACTGGCTTTCGTTTATGTGTTTCATTAGAATTGACCGTGGAACTGAAAGACAAGAGTTGACCGTTTTTCATTAATCTCCTGGCATTGTGGACTACGTTATAGATTTCAACTTGGTCAAGAGATCCTTGCATGGTTCGAGTGGTTGGTCAAAATCAATCAAGGGATTTGGTCTTATAAATTCTTTCTATTCTGCTGCAATATCTGTATAGGAGTTCAATAACTTGGTTCCACCCAGTTAATGTGACACGTCATCATGCATTTTACCTTTTAATTCTGATAAATTTTCCCTTTCTTCTCAAAACATTTCGTTCTTCCCCTGGCCTTATTAACAAATTTTTAGGTTTTGCATATTCTTTCAGAGCTAAGTATTCATCCGTGCCCTTGTCTTATTTGTTAGCTTGCTTGTGTATACACTCGCAACATTTTACAGTCTTTTCAAAATTCTTCAACTCCTTTCACAATTTGATAAACAACTATATTGGTCCAATAGTCCTATTCTTAACTTCATATTTATGACACAACAAAAAAATGTCAACTTGTGGCAGGGGTTCCAACAACAATTGATTACCATAAGCTTATCCTTGACATTGAGGTAGGAAATGCACTATTTTCTCTATTGCTTTTTTTTTTTTTTTTTTCCTTGTGAAGACTTCCATCCTCTCTGAGATCCTTGTGAATTTGAATTTGGATTCATTTATTGCCATACCACAGGACTTCAAAAATGGAAAAGTTGATACTGCTTTTATTCCAAAGCATGAAGAAGAATTAGCCGCGGTAAGTACATTTATTGTTCTCTTATATGCAAACTAATTTACTTTTCATTTTCATTCTCTCTCCTTCCCCGAACCACTATCCCACCACTAATACCATGTGTGTATATGATAACCTAAAAATCTAGATATCTTTCAGAAACAAATCAATCTAATTTGACACCTTAGAATGGGATTAGTTAATGAATAATGACGATGGTGAATGTAATTTCTCATCGTTGGTAATTCTTTCAAGTCTGCTTCTCGAGAGTAGAAAAATTGAAGTGATTCTCAAGATATTCCTCGCATGATATCAGAGGAACCAACCAGATTTAATGATCTTCCTCATCTCGATTTTCATTTTTCTTTTTTCCACTTTGACCCGTCATCATGTTTTTGCCATCCAATACTATTTTCTTCTGTTTGCTTGTTCTGTGTGAAGTAAAGTGCAAACTTAGCAGCTGCAGATCTCTTATACGTTATCTGGATATACATAAACTATAAACTTATATGAACATTACTTGATATTTCATTTCACTATGTAACTCAGCCCCAGCATAATGACTTGGCAAAGCCTTCTACTTGAAGTTCTCCTTTCAGAAGTGGAAGCAGAGTTTCTCTGAGTTCTAGACTCGGTCCTAAACATATAAATCGTTTGTTTGATCTCAACACATTTTTGTTTGAATTTATTGAATTTAATTGTAACAAATAAAAACGTTTTACTTCCCTGTTTAATGTCAAATGAGATTAAAACCAAGGGGTATTGTTTCCAAGTTGAGCCCATTATATTTTTTCTTTAACAAGAAACTGTTCAGAGTTTTGAATGCTTGTAGACGTTTTTCTTTCTTTTCTTCCTTTTTAAAAGGATCGGAGATAAATCTTATTTGTTAGACATTGTAGAAGACACAATTGATCATCGTTCCAAAATCTTGGAAAATTCAAATATAAATACCTTTAATAGGGTTAACATTAAACAAGGTTTTAGACGTGTAAGACATGGACGTCAAGCTTGAAACTTTTATAAGTTTAAAGATGTCTCCAATTTTTAATAATATAAAATAATTAATGCATACTTCGAAAATTTGTACATACTTTTTAGTTTTCAACAAAAAGCATAATTTTCGAAAGTATGATTACAATTATTTAGTAATTAATTCATACAATTAGATTAAGTATGAACATAGCTTAAATTTTGTCTAATTCTTTTTCTGTGGCTAATTCAAAGTCGCAGAAGGTTTGGAACATAAACTGAACAAAGAATAAGATGGAGAAGGATGAATACTTCGATTTTTCTTTCATTTCAGATGTTCTGATTTGGGACATAAACAAGATGGAGTACGAGTTTGTTCATGGGTTGGGTTTGGCTAGATCGAATGTTTTTGGGGCTTATTTCTTTTTCAAGTATTAGCAAAAGTTGGACTCCTTGTACGACAAAATTTGAAAACAAGAAAACATTACTTGTCAAACAAAAATACCAGAACCTTTTTCTGCCTAGATGCACCTACGTTGACGCCCTTTTTCCTGCCTTGTCCAAATCCTAGGCGTTCCTTGAGCCTAGATATGTCTAGGCAATCCTTTTCAACAGCAATAAAGCTCCAATTACAATAAGGGTTGTGAAAAAGTCATTATTTTTTACATTTTCACCCCTATTCACATTTTATTGCGCAAAAAATTATTTTCATCCATTTTCTCTCAATTAAAAATTATAAAATAACAAATATACTCTTCTCTTTAAATAAAAAGAAAAATGAAAAACTAATTGCAACAATAATCTCAATTTTTTTTAAAAAGCGCAAATGAGTCTCCAAACCAATTATTAAAAGGATAATTAGCACATAATATCCCTGCTTTTCACTATTATAGCGGAAAACGTCATTAACTTTTATTTTATTTTTTGGCATTTAATCCTTAATTACACATTTGATTGCGAAAATATTTGCTTATATTCATTTTCATCTAATTTCTCAATAAAGAGTTTTGAAATGATGAATATACACTTCTATTTTTTTAAAAAAATTAAAGTAATTTTTTTTAATTTTTAATTTTTTAATAATTTATTTGGGATTCGTTTGTACTTTTTAATTTTTTAAAATTTTTTAATAAATTTAATTGGGATTCATTTGCATTTTTTTTAAAAAAAGAATTTAATTTCTAACTTCTTAATAATTTATTTGGGACTCGTTTGTACTTTTTAAAATTTTTTGGAACTATAGTTACAATTAATTCTTAAGTTTTTTTTATTTAAATATGAGGATATATTCATCATTCCACAATTCTTTATTGAGAAATTGAATGAAAATGGATAGAAATGATAGTTTGCGCTATCCATGTCAACGAGCCGAAACTTAGCCCGGGCTCGACTCGAGCAAAACAGGTTCGAGCCGAGCAAAAGCTCGACCCAAAAAATGAGGCTCGGCTCGATCTTTCAGCTCGAGCCTTAGCGGGCCGAGCCGGCTCGTGTTTTTTTAAAAATTCGTTATCTAAATATTAATATATATAAAAAAATATCTAAACTTATAAAAAAAAAGAACCTTGGCTCGGCCCGTCATACGGGCCGGTGACGAGCCCGGGCTCGAGCCGATGCCCCAAAATGTGGCTTGGCCCGAGCTTCAGCTAGTTGCTACAGAGCCACGAGCCGGCCCGGCTAGGCTTTTGTGGGCCGAGCTCGGCCGCCCGAGCTATCGACCTTTTTTGCATCGCTAGTTTGAACAATCGAATGTGTAATTAATGGTGAAAACGTAAAAAAAATATGGACGTTTTTCACAATAATAGTAAAAGGTAAGGATATTATGTGCTAATTACCCTTTTAATAATTTATTTGGGGATTCATTTGTGCTTTCCAAAAAAATTAGGACTATAGTTGTAATTATTTTTTTATTTTTGTTTTATTTTAAGATAAAGGTATATTCGCTATTTCACAATTTTTAATTAAGAAAATAGATTAAAATGACCTTTTGTGCAATGAAATGTGAAAATGAAGGAGAAAATGTCAAAATATGAAATCTAAGGACGTTTTCCACAATAGTAGTGAAATGTGGGGACGTTATGTGCTAACTACCCTTACAAGAAATTTTTAACAAAATTGATATCGACGCTAATATAACCGAACATGATTAGTCTTGTATTCCTAAACCATGCTACTTGTACAGGGACAGCTTGACATGCCCCTCACATGTGGGGCCGTGCTTTTTTTATTTTTAAAACAATGGTGAGGCCAGCCATTGTGCTGTAAGAGACCTGTCGAGCAGGTCCTTGTACAAGCAAAATATCACTTTTTTTTTCTTCTCATCTTCCAATGGTGCCACGCCAAATGTCTTCTATACAAATATTTTGTCAAAAATATCTATACCTATAGCATGATTGTTTCAACAGTTATTGCAAAGGACCTTTTTAAAGCCGTGACCATATCTAGCAGTTTATAAAGAAATCCATTCATCATCATTGTAAGATCTCATTGAAAGCAACACAATAGTAATACTTGGGAACCATCATATCAACTGGCGAGAGTATTACACATTGCTTACACTTCAACCCATACGATGATTTCTACCAAATGAAAAAACAAATAAATCTTCACTTTACCCCTTCGATGTATACTGACGACCATTTTCATCGAAGAAAACTATACCGGAAATGACAAACAACTGTACCAATCACAATCTACAGTATTTGGTAGCCAGCATCTCCAAGAGGCTCTTCAATTCTCTATAAAGAGATGCAAAATATTTGAGTCGAATTGTGGTAAAATGCTCAACTGCTACTGCTTGTAACGAATTTGTATTCCAACTCAGACAGGAAAAGTACGAGGAAATTGTGAGCTATTTACTCAGCTAAACCTCGTGCTGTTCCTCCTTCCCCACCAACTTTTTCTCACCTTGTTAGCCAACCCTTCTTCATTTCCGAGTTTGTGGAGAAT